TTCCTGAGGAAGGTCCTATGGGTCTATTCACTTAGTTCCATTAGTTTGTCTAGGATTTCTCAAGTATCCAATGATGTTGGAGCCAACTTGTGAGTTTAATTTCTCCTGAGGAGGAATGTAAACTGATCACATGTTGTTGAGCCACATGGGATACAACTCCTAAGTGGAAGCCTCCTAGTACTTTCCTGAGGAAGGTCCTATGAGTCTATTCACTTAGTTCCACTAGTTCAAATAGGATTTCCTAAATATCCAGTGATGTTGGAGCCTGCTTGTGAGTTTAATTTCTCCTGAGGAGGAATGTAAACTGATCACAGTGGTTGAGCCACATAGGGTATGACTCCTGAGTATACACCTCCTAGTGCTTTCCTGAGGAAGACACTATGAGTCTGATTGCTTAGCTCCCTTTCTTTGGTAAGCTTGTTCTGAAGCTTGAAGACTGGGAATGATTTCTCTTGTTCAGGGTTTTTGCCTGAGGGCTTTGCTTAGATTTGATTCAGATTCTGTGTTAAGGTTAGGATTAGAGAGTAGATTCTTCCTTTCTCTAGCATGCATGTTTTGTTTGCCGGATGGCACTTCGTTTCTTTTATCTGTTCATTGCTTGATAGCATGTTGTTTATTTTCAGTATGATTACTGTTATTTCATGACTGGTTTGAGGTCGAGACGAGCTTGTGGAGGCTGAAGCCCCACACACATTTCCTCCCTCACTTGCATTGCATGCATTTTACTGTTAAAGCTGATGCTTTTGTCTGTTTTTGTGTATCATTGACATGATCCCTTAGGACTCTCATTTCCTCTGATGAGGATTTGATGATAGACTTTTAGGTTGAAACCTATGCATGATAACATCTAGGAGTTCCCTGTTCAAACCTCAACCATAGGATGAGTCCATGGCATGATAACAGTAGGACTTGATAGTCTCCCTCCTAGTTGAGCCATTTTTCTTGTAGTTTCCCGAACTACGTTTGCTCTGATCTTTCATACCAGATGAAAGTACGTAGGCATAGGATGCGATATCCTAGTGAGCAACCTTCCCCACCTTTTCCCCGTAGTTAGCCGAACTACGTTGACTCTGATTTCTCGTTCCAGACAGGAATACGTAGGCATAAAGCGCGACGCTTTGCCGAGTCATTTTTCTTTTCTTTTTCAGCCAGCCTTGATAGGTAGATAGATTATAACCAACCCGTCCAAGTAAACATACAAGCGAGGATCCCGTCGAGTACGACGGACGTGAGGGGTGCTAATACCTTCCCCTTGCGTAACCGACTCCCGAACCCAGACAATGGTTGCGACGACCTTGTCTTACCCTTTTTCGTTAGGTTTTTCCGATCGTTTCCTTTCCCGCTCTGAGGGATAAATAACGAAAGGTGGCGACTCTTCTGTCATGCCGGCACCTTATTTTCGCGCAAGCGACACAATCATACCGACAGTGTTTTGTTAAGTTATAAAATTTATAAATATAACAGGAATTATTTTTAAGTCTGAATTTTCTAGTTTTAACAATAAAAGTTTATAGTGAAAGCTGAAATAATGTGATACCACTGTATCTGTCTATAGAAAATTTAGGAATTGATTTTAAAATATATGGAAAATTCTTTTTAAATTAATTTGTAAATTACCAATTTTCAAAAAGTCATTTTAAACTTACAAACAGATATGCGGAAGCGAGCGTCTGTGAGTTTAAAATACGGTTTCAGGCACACAAAAGCAGACATAACCTTTAGATTAAATTTTTTTACTAAAACTAAATATTCAAGTAAAAATTAATTAATTTCCAAAAAGGATTTCAAAGTTGTAATGCGCACACGCGAAAGCGGTCGAGTAGAGTGCAGAGTTGAAATTCGGTGTCTTAAACGCAAAAAAGGGATGCACTATTAATTTAATTCTTTTGCGCAAGAAAATACTTTCCTGTTATAAATATAAAATACAACTTAACGGGTACAAAAGGTACATATGAATTACATTCTGGTATCTCGTTCTAATTAATTCCAAAAACAACTTATTTTCTCTTTTTAGCGAACAAAATATATTTGCATCGTCTTAAATACACAATGTGATAGCAGATAGTTATAATTGACATTGGTCTCTGTGGGATCAACATTCTTTTATACTATAATCGATATTTCCATGCACTTGCGGACTTATCAAGTTTTTGGTACCGTTGTCGGGGACCAATTTCGTCAATATCGTAACTCTATTGTTACACCGCATAGACTAAGGCACAACTTTCTTTCAGTTGCACTCCAAGTACCCGCAACTCTGGGGACAAATTAGAGCAACCAATAGACGAAATTGAGCATTTTATTCACATTAGATGTCGATTGGAAGAACTTCGTGCCCAATTTGATATCCCAATGGTTGCGGACAATGATACTCGTCCTCTTAAGGACTTTGTCGTCCCATCTTTGGATGAGCCACACTCGAGTATTGTTAACCATGTGATCCAAACTAACAACTTTGAACTGAAATCTTCTCAGCTGCAAATCGTGCAACAAAACCAGTTCCCTGGTAGCCTAAAGGATGACCCTAATTTGCATATTTCCGCATATGTATCGTATGCTAACACATTAAAAAGTAATAAAGTTGACCCATAAGACATTAGACAATGCCTTCTTCCTTTTTTCCTGAAGGACAGAGCCTGAGCTTGGCTACAATCCCTACCGTTGAATTCCAGATATCCTATTTTAGAAAGGCTGACGGTGAATCCCTTTTTTAGGCCTGGGAGAGATATAAGGATATAATGAGACTACACACACATCATGGTTTAGAAAAGTGGTTGATAATCCACACTTTCTATAACAGTCTTCTCTATAATACGAGGATGAGTGTTAATGTTGCGGAAAATGAGTTTTGATGGAACGTTCAAGGATCAAGAATTAGTACCATCAATAGTGTCACGCTACATGTGATCTCGGCAACATAGAGTTTCCTCAAAAACTCAAATCTAGCATGAGCACCCCCATTCTTATCCACCTCCTTCATCGCGTACCCTGGATTAGCCCCTAGACGCTCTACCATCATTTCGATTGTCTCGTCTCTGGTTATCCTCCCATGATCGAGGAATCTCCCCCTGATCGGGAGATGCAACAAACACGAGACATCGTCTAGTGTGATAGACATCTCATCATGCGGGAGATGAAACGAAAAGGTCTCAAAATGCCATCTCTCTACAAATGCATTAAGCATCCCGTGGTTGACCAAAGTGTAATCAGTCAGCATAGGTCCTTTAGGCCAGATCATAATAAAACCGACTGAAATCAATCATCCTCCTGCTGAGGCAATGCAGCAATCTTCCTCCTATGGTTAAGAAACTTTTGAGGATCACGCTCTTGAAATTTAACAGAAGTAATCAATGTCAGAAATGATCAATGTCAGCAATTAAAACTAAAATTAACGCATAAAAAAATAAAGAACCCAACTAATGCTACCTCTCTATCCTAGATATGTCTAGCAGTGTGGTCTAGATACAAAGGAAGTAAGGACATATCATATGTACCTCTTCCAAAACCCTCTAGCTCGACATTTGCAACAGCCTTACCCTCCGGAGGCGCACGGGATCAACAGGATCATCAGCGGGAAACTGGTGAATCCTAACGCCTGCGAGAGGATGGGAGAAGTGATGCGTCAGATGGTGAATCTCATCTCTTATGGGAAGAAGAAGAAGAAGTTGAAGTGGTCTGAGATTGAGTGACCTGAGGTGAAGCACAAGCCCCAAGAGTAGACGGTGTCCCAAAAGTCGACGCGTCTACTTGACAAGAGGTACTTGGAGCCTCTGGAACCTGTTGGTTCTGCTCCCTCCAAATGGATGCGTGCTGATCAACCCTGCCATGTCTTAGTATGTCAACTTTGTCAGCCATCATGCTTGTAAGGTAGTGTAAGGTATATCATTATTGCACGCAAATAACACACACACACACACACATAAGAAAAATAAAAGAAATACTACAGAAAAATCCGGAGATGCATCTCCGAAAACACTATAAAACTATAACGTTGAACAATTTCGGAGATGCATCTCTAGAATTTTCCAAAGTATATGAAATGCTGAACAATTTCGGAGATGCATCTCCGGAATGTTCTGCAACACAGAGGCCGCGTCAATGACGAGCGTACCTCATTCAAGTTGAAGAAAACATGATCTAATCGCCATTTTCAGCCTACAAACAACGTAACATGGTTTATACACTATGTCTAAACTATGTTACAAGTGATTTCAATATATTTCTAACCTTAATCATTGATTTTTACTCATTTACACTAAAACTCAAATATTTACCTAAAAACTCGAAAAACTCACTCACAATGTATGCTTTTGCTGATGTTGAATGATGTGATAAATGATGTTTGATGTTCTCTTGAGTTCTTTTGAGCCTCCTTTTGATGAAATTCGATTTGGTGAAATTGAAGAGTATTGAGAAAGAGAAGAGTTGAGTTTGAGTTTGAAAGACAATAAGAAAGGAGAAAATTTTGACGCGATTTAACATTCAAATTGTTTCAAAAAATATATCTTTATAATATTTTAACATTCACTTACATTAAATGCGTCAAAAAAATATATCTTCAAACTTAAAAGACATGTGTGAATTTTTACATGATACATTAAAAACATATGAGATGAAGTAAGAAATTCTCAAATTTTGTTTATCTAATATGTATAATATCGGAATACAATTTAAGTCCATCTAGATGTTATTGACAAGTCCATCTAGTTGTTATTGAGAGATGAAGTGGGCCTAATAAATAAACGAAGCTAAGAAGAAAACCCTAACTCGGGTAGCACGTGTGACAGTTAATACAAAGTAGCAAGCGCCGCAGTGCGTAATCTTAACGAAGACCGTTCGATCGAACAACACGTCGTCGATCCGCGTGAAATCGTTTCTCAACGGCTCAGATCATTTTCACAGAGTAACTGAAGAAACGAAGCGAAGAAGAGTCTGGTAACTTGGCTTCGTTGTTTCTCTACTCTCTCGTGCTCGATTTTCGATCGATTTTCCACTCTTCAATGAAAACAGAATCTCAAATTTTTGTGGCTTCGAAGATGAATTTCACGGAGGATTCTGAGAAAGTGAAGAAAATCGAGGTTGTTGTTTTGAGTGAAGATGAAGGTGAAGAAGATTATGAGTCAGTGGAAGAAGTTGACGCCGGAGAAGACGACGGTGATGAGGATGATGATGGTGACGAGGAGGACGATGATGAAGAGGAGGAGGAGGATGATGCTCCTGACGGCGGCAACGATGAGGATGATGAAGACGAAGAGGAAGATGGAGATGATGAAGTTGGTGGCGGTGAGTGTGGTGGTGACGGTGACGATGACGACGATGACGACGACGAGAACGATGATGACGAGGAGGATAACGACGAAGAGGTAACCGAATGAAATCCCTAATTTTTTGAAATTGTTAAATTGAATTCTAGACAGTTCATTGTTTGTCAATTTTTCTCCATAGTTTTAATTTTCCTTTAAATTTGTTTTTGTTTTTCAATTTTATGTCTATTCTGAGTTAGGGTTTATCTTTCAGCTTTTTCATTTTCTCCGTTTACGATATTCGCTAAGAACTTGCTACACTCTGTGTTTATTTTTTACTCCATGAAATTGAAGTAGAATTTCTGTGTTAAAATTGTGCAGTATTTATAGTTCTTAGTTCTGAATTTTTAGAATTGCCGGCATATATTTTAACCTGCTTATTAGGGTTTTTTTAGACTTCCAAGAAATTTCACTCTATTTCTATATAGGGATTTTAACTTACTAATTAGGGATTTTAGAAATACAATATAATGAATTGTTCAATTCCCTTTTCTTTGGATGGATAGAATTGGATGATGGAGAACGGTATGATTAAGTGAAGTGATATTTCATTATTTGCATCATTTAAAAATCAAAAATCAAATGGAGCGGTGTAAAATGGAGTGGTATAGATTCTACTCCATCACTCACCATCATATTTCTTGCCATCCGATTTGGGCGGAATGAAGAATTTGTTTTGGACGGAATGAAGAATTTGCCTTGTTTTGTCTTAAAATTTCTAAACAATGGAATGAAATATTCATCCCACACCGCCCCATTCTGCTATATTATGCTTCGCTCCGCTTCATTATACTCCATTACACTATATTCTGCTCTGCTCCGCTTTCATTCTGCTCCATTCATTTAATAATATTCAGAAGAGTTTGATCTTTTATAATTCCTTTATTTATGTTTTGATTTGCTTGTTTATTTCTCTAAGAACTCCCTCCCTGTCTTTACATAATTGGTCTTTTTTGTTACTCAATTGAAGTGTTGGCAATCTGCTACGTTTGTATAATTCAATTTTGCTGCAAGTCTTTTTTTGGCATTTGAATTACTCATGAGCATAAATTGTTGTAGGATGATTTGGGAACAGAGCACCTTGTTCGCCCTATAGGCAATGCTGAAGAGGAGGAAGCTTCTAGTGATTTTGACCCAGAAGAAAATGATGAGGATGAAGACGAAGAAGATGATGAGAAGGATAAGGTTCCGCCGAAAAGGAAGAGATCAAATAAAGATGATGATTCCGATGACGATGACGGAGGTGAAGATGATGAAAGACCCTCCAAAAAATAGAGTTGGGTTATTTCTTTGCTTGAGAACTCAACAAACCAAACCATAGTTGAAGTAGATCAGCATCTGTCCTTTGAACACTTTTCAGAGAAAGGATGAGTAGGTCAATGGAATTGTTTTGTGTTCTCTTTGTATTATTATTATTAGTATTATGGTGCAACATTGTTAGGATTTTTATTTTTTGTCTGGTTGGTGCATATAGTCAATTATGGATCGAAACATTTGCTAGGACAACTAATGTGGACTTCTATTTATGCATAATATTTCTGACACCCTGAAATTGTTGGTAGATTTCTTCTGGTTTTTCATGATGTTTTTTCTCTCGTTGCAATTACATACCAATCTTGTAAATGTTGGATCCGCAGCACTCCTAAAAGTAGTGAGATTGAGAGTCATGACTCATGATTTTCACTTACTCATGTAGCGAGTACTGTAAAGAGACTATTAGAGAATAGAGTTTTTGAAATATTAAAAATTGTGAACGTCACTTTTCTCCTTCACACAAATGAGTGATTTATAATACTCATCCCAAACTAGAGACGATTTAAACTACAACGCCAGACACCCCACAAATTATATTATCCTTCACAACTTAACCATTATTTCAAATTCATTATTTGAAATTTGCGCAAACTTAAGTATTCCACGAAATTTTCTTGACGATACCGGACATCTTGCTCATACTGTTAATTTTATCTAAAGTAAGAAAATTTTCAACTTTCACACCTTTTTACGACAATGTTAAAATATCTTGTAAAAAGTCATAAAAATTATGAGTTTTTATTGAAGATTTTGAAATTTCTAGTAAAAATTTGTGTATTTATACCGCGAATTTTGAAGATGTTGGTTTAAATGATTTGGTTTTTATCGGAGATTTTAACATTTCCGGTTTTTACTCATGCACTTATACTAGGAATTTTTAAAATTATGAGAGTTTAAAATTTTAATATGGTACCGGGTATTTTAAAATTACCAATAATAGTTGTAAAATATCGAAAATTGTGAAATTGCTGATAATTAATTGATTTTTTGAATTTTTTTCATTTTTATTAATGATCAGGGAAAAGGTTAGATATATTGCATCCAAGACTACACATAGAGAGGCAACAATGATCCGTGCTAGGGCAGTTGAGGCAGAGTCGTCTCAGCTACAGGTGGAAGAGTAGCTCCAATCGGTTCTCATAAAAAACGGTTGACTGCACAATTCTTTTGCGCACCTCGTACCATCCGACCCAAAGTTGTTATAAGTGACGAGTAGCCTATAGATGATGCAGATGAGCAGGCTGAGGCTATTCATGATGAGGACGTCCAGGGTCAGGCTGTTATTGACCCAGCTGAGGCTATTCATGATGAGGACGTCCAGGGTCAGGCTGTTATTGACCCAGCTGAGACGATCGAGACAAATGCGACCTCTATTACTGCTGAGGTCGAGACAAATGCGACCCATATTAGTGTCGAGGCCAAGACAGGTGACTCGAGGCTACTGCTCCTATGAAATGTTCTCTACATAACTTTAAAATCTTCATCAGTCTTCAACTCAATAAGGTCGTATTTCACCTTTCCATCAGTATCAATCTAGTTTGCACGAAACTCAGTCTTACTCACCTTTTTATTCTATGTCGGACAATATACCATTCAAGACGACGAGACATGCGGACTCCTCCGAAATCCGAAACACTATAAGTGGTTTCACCTCGTTGAAGTATGTAACACCCTACAACCCCAACTCGTTATTTATAAAAGATAAACATATAATTTCTCAAATATCGTTGTTACACATGCTTAACATATATCTTCATCACGTAATAATAAGAGATAGCAACGGAACTCAAATATCAATCATCCTTTAACTGTCTCAATAAAATAATATAAGTCAAACTCAAAACATAAAACAATAGCAAACATCTTGTCCCAATGTTACAGATATGAGCATCATCGAAACTAAATAACATGGAAAATAGTAAATAACAAAGAGGCTTCAATGCCATCCTCCAACTCAAAAGAAAACAACCAAAGGTAAGAATACGCTCATAAATGTTAGCGATGTTAAAGACAACAAGATAATATAATACATAATATTCACCAAACATATGAATTATTCACAACAACAATAATCGATTAACAATGCAGTTATGTATGCAATGCAATCAATTCCTCAACACTAATGCATGTGGTATCAATATCGGACATCAAAGTTATATTACTGATTTCGTCCACTCATCAATGGTTCCCCTTCGAACCCCGACTCATAATTTATCCCCCCTTATGAATCAACGACTCGTCATTGGACCGAAGTCCGTACATCTATCACGACACACATGATGCATGATACGCAACAACAAGATACGAGTTCAATAAACACTACTTGTTCATCTTCGAAACGTAACTATCGCCCAATAAGGTCACCATATTGGTTTTTATTAAAAACTACACTTCTCATCATCTACATATAATTATATACCAATAATTATACAAATGCTCCACATTATTCATTTATTCATATAACTTTACATCTCAGCTTAACATCACCAAACCCACTAAACAACAACAAACAATAGCCACACTCGAAAATCACTCGAAAAACCAAAGGCGACCCATAAACGGTCAATGCGGTCATGACGGCCAACCCTCCCGTCATGATGTGTCGGTCACCCCATTTCCCACACACCTATCACCCTGTTGACGAGGGGGCGGAAAGCCCGTCACGGGGACCATGACAGTCACCCCATCACTATGCTGACATCCGTCAGCTCACTCAGCGTAGTGACTGTCGGCTCGTCACAGAGGTGACGGCCGTCATCGCTATACAGAAAACAGAAACAATGATTTTCACTATTTGAACTCTTCCAATACTCCGATTTGATTCCAAAATACCCAAATCAAGCAGAAAATTATTAACCACAATTGTGCAATGCTTATTATAATAATCACCCACAGATTAATCATGATTGCCTCAATTTCTCACAAATTCCACATCATATTCATCATATTGCACATATCAATATAAACACTATTTTTTATACAATTTTCACACGAATTTCAGTAGTAGAATCAAGAAATGAATTTATATTTATCACATCAATTGAAATAAGTATTACACAAACCTTCTCCAAACACACCAAAATCAACAATGGAGAAAACATAATAAAGAACAAAGAATAGGGCGAGGATCTCTCTCCACCCTTCATGCATATTACCCCCAAAGATGAGTAATTCTTCCCCTTACCTTAATTTTTCAATAAACTCCAAATTTCTCTATGAAGGTCTTTAACCTTTACTCTCCTATGACCTTTCCACTCTTTAGCCTCTTTTCACGCAGTGCTTGTTCTCCCCCCTTCTTTTCCTAATTTTTTTTTATATTTAAATTAAATAAAGCCACATTATTTCCATTTAATTTAGTTATCACCACAACTCTCCTCAACTTTGTTTAATTCTTTCTTAGCCCCATCAATTTCATAAGAATAATATTTTTCTCTAGAGTCTTGTATTTTTCCATTTTCTTTAATAATTAAATTATAACAATCTAATCAATTCAAAAAAAATTCAAACAAATCACATAAACCTCTCTAACACCAAGATAGAATAATAAAAAACACTTTGAACTTAATTAAAAAAAATAAACAAAAATTCAGGGTGTTACAAAGTATACACTTTTTTCTTAAACAAAAATTGAAGCATTGTAAGATATTTTTCTTAACAACACATGATCCTTCTTTATACAATTTTAGATTTATTCTAGACCACACAAAATGGTGGGCGCAATCACAATCGCACAAAATCGTCGGCAAAATCATAACCGTTAAAAATTTAAACTATCAAAAATTCTGTTTTTTTTTAAATTTCCAGTACCACATGGTATTTATTAAAAACACCGGTATTATTTCAAAGATATCGGTCTTTTAAAAAAATTGATATAATTTTATACCCACAACTTTAAAATAAACTACCAGAATTGTAAAATGTTACTGTAAATTTTATACCCGCTCCTGAAAATTATTAACGAACTAATTTTAATTCAATTTTGTCTAAGAGGAGTTTTGGAATTAATGAGATATGTGGGATGTCAGGTATAATTTCAGGAGTGGCAAGTTAAATAGATTATAATGATATTATAATAGATTATAATGATATTATAATAGCATCTAATTTTAGGCTCATTTGGTTTTTCTTTTTTTAAAAATTATTTTCATAGTGTTATGTAATTTTATGTAAACATATTTTACAAAGAAATTTTTATAAAAGTTTTAAATAAAAAATTAGTTTGAACTGTCATTCTTAAAATGTTATTTTTAGATATTTTATCATTTTATTAAAAAAAATTTTGGATATTAAAGTTTTGAAAAATTATTTAATTTTAAAACTATTTTAAATAATTTTTCATAAAAATCATTTTTGAGATACAATTTTTTGTTTAAATTTCGATTTTGACTATTTTTGATCTTCAATAATGTATGTTTATGTTATAAGATGTCAAAATTAATTTTTAAATTAAAAAAAAACGAATGTAAAAAAACATAAAGTATTTTGAAAATTATTTTTATAAAAATTATTTTTTAAAATATAAAGAAAAAATTTATTTCTTTAAAGCTAAAACAAACGAGCTTAGTTATGACTTATGACATTATCATAGTGTCACTTGTGCATGCAATATAGATAGGGGTGTAATCAAATCGGTTTGAATCAGTTTTTAGTCAAAGAAATATCTAAACAAAGATATCTTCATCAGTTTAATTTGGTTCGATTTTTAGCATTTTTTTAAAATTGGAACCTAACCAAACTAATCGGTTTGATTTAGTTTGGTTGATCGGTTTACAAGGTTTTTTTTTTCAAATATTATATTCATCAGTGTATTCTCTATTATCATATTTTTTTATTTATTTTATATTATTATTTTTTAAAATAATATACTTCATGTAATTTATTTCATGCTCTATTTTTTTAAAACAATTACAAGTTGTTCTTAATCCATACAAAACAGTAACATAATTTTCATTGCATCATGA